GTCTGTGGGTGCAAAACACTCCTGCTAACACTACCTTATTTTTTTTTTTTTTTGAGACAGAGTCTCACTCTGCTGCCTGGGCTAGAGTGCTTTGGCATCAGCCTAGCTCACAGCAACCTCAAACTCCTGGGCTCAAGATACCCTCCTGCCTCAGCCTCCCGAGTAGCTGGGACTACAGGCATGTGCCACCATGCCCAGATAATTATATATATATATATTTTTTTTAAGTTGTCCAGCTAATTTCTTTCTATTGTTTTAGTAGAGACAGGGTTTCACTCTTGCTCAGGCTGCTCTCGAACTCCTGAGCTCAAAGGATCCTCCAGATTCGGCTACCCAGAGTGCTAGGATTACAGGCGTGAGCCACCACACCTGGCCAACACTACCTTATTTGAGCCACGTTCACTTGTCTACCCCACAATGCTTTTCAGTCTTTACAATGTGCCTTGCTAGGATCTATGTTAGGTGCCAGGGATATAGTATTTAATTATTAAGACTCATTAATTACTAAGATGACTAAGAGAACATTCCCACGTTCATTGCCATTCATACTAGTGATGGAGCTAGATAAGTAACAAGTGATTCCAGCATGCTGGGAACACTTCTATGATGGGATTTGGGAAAACAAAGTATTACAGAAGCATATAAGAAATGGTTCAAAACCAGAATGGGGTAGGAATTTATGGGCATCGCAGATTTCCCATAAATTTGCAAAAGCACAGGACAGAGATAATTATCTGATTCATTTTACAGATGAAGAAAACAGGGCTCAGAGAGGGTAAGTGGTCTACAGCCAACAATAAATGATGGAGTCAAGATGGCCAACTCTTAGCCTTCTTCTTCTACTACACAATGGTGTCTTCGCCAAAATCATTACCATCACTTTATCATCATCATCAGTGTCAGAAATGTAATAGGCCATATATAACCCACGACCTTATATTTAGATATAAACTTTTTAGAAGGATTAAATTAGCATCAAAACACCAGCGAATGACACAAGTAGAGCATATTACCTAATTATAACTACAGAGTATCACATAGGCTTACAGGTTGTTATGGGTTTTTTAATTGACTAGATCCAAGCAAGTTTGCAATGGGCAAGTTTTGTGGAGCAGATAAATACTGAGCACTGTTTAAAGAAAAATCAGAGACTCATGAGACAGAGAGAGAGGAGAACCTTAATTGGCTCCATGGTGCAAATTGACAAGGTGTGGCCACAGCATGGTCCCTACAGCAGGAATAGAGGCCAAGTGTAGCAAAGGGAAGAACATTCAGGTAAGATGAAACCAGTAATGATGAGATCTGACATTTGTTAGGACTGTAAATTTCAGATGTGCCTTTCTGATTGTATGAATGTGGAAAAAGGATGGACAGAGGTTAAAGAGAAGGATTTATAACCATTTAGAACGAAGCAGGAGAAAATTTTGCCTGAATTATTAGGGGGGGTCATCAAACAGCATTTCTAAAAACTTGATTGTTGAGGATCAGTCATTTGTCTAGCATTATCTTAAAAGCATTTTTTTAACCATCTAGCTTTTTGTCCTGGTCTGCCTACCATACCCCTTATGCACAGGATTTTAAACACCTTGTTCTGACCTCCAATCTGGGAATATCTTTGTTAGTCTGCTAAAAACATGAGTATTCTGAGCCTTTTTGTAACGATCCCTGTAGGTAATAGTGATCACCAAAACGTTGGCTTAGCTCTTAATATGTTCACATTTCATTTAAATTTTGGACCAATTACTACTACAGACTACACTTAGATTTTTGGCCATTTCAAACATTTTGGTCCAACCCACTAGATCCCAAAGTTCTTTGCTTCCCCCCAAAAAACTGATTTTCCACTGTGGATGTCCAAGCTGCCTTTAAAACACCCAACCAAACTCTGAGCTGTCATATTATCTGGGTAAGAGATAAGGGGTTAGAAAAGTATCCAGTCATCCAACCACATTTCTGGGTTTTTTGTACAAGATTCAGATGAAATACAGCCACTCAATAAAGTCCTTCTGTTTTCTCTTTCCCTCCCTCCCTTCCTCTCTCTATATTTGCCTAGAGAGGGGAATCCTAAACCCTTTGGAGCCCGGCCAGCTGCACCAAAAGAATCTCTTGACTATTTTCCCAGGGAATTCCTGCCTTAAATGTCAGCGGAGTACGACTGCCCAGCCAAAGCAGGGTCTGCCTGGATTTAAATCAAGAAAAATGCGCCTACCATACCAAACGTGAAAACCCGTGCTGTACCCAACGTGAAAATCCACGGGCCCAGGGGCACAGAGACAGATTTTAGTATTTGTGAAAGATTCAACAGCCATGAGAAGTACAGGTTTTCTCGAATTTACCTCAATAAGGAACAGGAATCAAACATTTTGGTTCCGTGCTGTTGTTTGACCACTATTTTTTTACTCATTTGGTGGTGAACTGTATTTCTGGAAACTACCATGAATTACCACCGTAAGGTAAAGCCACTTTGCAAAGGGAACGGAGCTCTGTTAAGCCTTTAGTTATGATGGTCGCTGCTGCTGCTGCTGCTGCTGCTGCTGCAGTTGCTCAGTTTGTTTGTTTGATTTTAATGAACATACTGATATATAAGTGCTCTGGGGGGAAATCACGAGGCTGAGATTCATGGAAAGCAAAGTAAGATTTATGAGTTGCGATTGAATCTGCCCCTACCAGCCTGGAGACACTTCCCGTCTGGTACTGAGGCATTGCTGGCATTTTTACTGCTTTTGTTTGAGTTTCCAATCTCTGAACACATGAGGAAATATTAAAAGTTCCGAGGGCAAGGGTGGGAGGAGCAGTCCACAAATCCCAAAGATATACGTCAGCACCACGGGAAAACAATATGGCGAAGTAGATTAAAAATTTGTAAACAAAGTTGTGTCAGTTAGCTAGCTTCTGCTAAGTACTCATAATTGTCACTTACCCTTCTCTCAGTTTCTTCGTGTGTTACTGACCTGTGACTTCACAAGGCTATTCAAATACAAATTCACAAGGTTGTCTGGCATAGAAGACCAATTTTAAATGACCATGCCATGTAACTATCCTCTCCCCAAAGATCATAAGGCTATACAGTAAGAAAGCCAAAAAGATTTAATTAATAAATTGTTATTTCATTTTTAAATGAATGAAGCCCTTTTAAAGATATCAATGGGGGAAAAAATTAGATCCCCCAGCTCCAATTTGGATCTAGGACCAGGTCAAAACAGTTCATCTTAGAAACTATTACAGCCCCCAAGTCTTCCCACCCCCTGCCAGCCCCCTACCACAAGCATCTTATAGTGGCTTTCCTCCTTCACCATGTTCTGTATACATGGCCACAGACAAATCTATTAGAAATGTGTTGCCCTAGTCCAGAGAAAAGCCTGACAAGTAGCTGGGTATTACACAGGGCTGAGAGTATTGTAGGAAGATCAGAAATACTGTCTCAAGTACAAAAAAGATAATTAGAAATACTTAATAAGAAAAACCACGTCTGGCAGATAAAGAGTTAATCCCTGGTCAATTTTAAGCCATTCTGCTTAGAGTACTAATAAGTGTATGAGTTGGTGCCAATTAGGGTGGCCTTTGCCTTGATTTGAACAGTCATCCCTTAGGGACTGGACTGCCAGCACATCAGCCAGCCAGAAACAAGGGAAAGAGTCTGAGAAACCGTGGTAACCAAATTTTGCTGGCACTTTGTAAAATGGTGACGGGAAACTGCCACGGCCATGCAGAGACTGCTAATGAGCCTAGGGCAACCTGCAAAGAGTGGGCCTGACAAATGTCCCCCCACCCGCCAGTACCCCTAAGGAGCACCACCCTTTGTGGGTTCCCGTGGATCTCACACCTGAGGCCTCGTAAACACTTCTGACTCAATTTTCTTAGAATCAGAGTGATTATATGTAGCACATCTGTGTACAAAGTCTCAGTTTTCAAATTTGTAGCAAAGATTTGACACTTTTTTAAAATCTCACTCGAAAATCTAAATGGTAAACAGTTTTAAGAATCAATATGAAATGTTTAAAGTATTCTTTGTGAATTCACATAAATCCCCCCTGCCCCTCTTATCAGAATTTATTCTGACTTTCAGGGAGCATAATTTTTAAAGGCTGAAACCACGGATGTATAATAATCAGTTTGCAACCACATTCTTAATAATGTTAATTCAGTCTTTGTTATCTGAGAGTGCTTGAAACAGTAATAAAGTTCTCCTCCTCTGGAGTCATACTCAAAATTTTAATTCCTTTTTCTAGGGAGAGTTTTGCATCCACCTCCATGTCTCATGTCTCACCTGAACGAGCCAACAAAACAAAAAAATTGTGGCTGTAATTTGAAAGTTTAAATAAATATCTTTCTTCTTCTCTTTTCTAGATTTCTTTCTTTCCTTATTTTGTTCTAGAAAAGAGAACATCTGAAATGAGGTGGTAAGGGAAGAGAGGAAGGAGCCCACAGGTAGGTGTGAGTTATTATCATGGTTCTAGTTGTTGGGTTGAGTGGCAGACTCACAGATGTTCATGATACTATTAAAAAGTCATTAACTATTATAAAATAAGTGGACCATATATGCACCAGTGATGACAGAGTGTCATAAACCAGAGATTATAATTATCCCAATGCTATGCACCTGAGGTCTATTTAAAGAAAAAAAAAATTAATGAGATGGTAATGCAGGCAAGCTAATGCTTAGACCTTCTGGCAGAGTTCACCAAACTCCTTAGGCAGAGAGGTCTTCACAGACAAGCAACCTGCGCAGCTGCACAGGGTCCTGCATTTGGAAGCACCCACACTTTGTTTAATGCCCTGCTGTCACAATCTTAAAATGTCTAATAATTTTTGAGCAAGGAGTCCTGCATTCATTTTGCACTGGGACCAGCAAATCATATAGTCAATCCTGTCCGTAGGTTTCCAGATATTAAATTCACCTACAGTTCCCAATAATTTTGTTCCCATCCAATCACTATATTTTAAAAATTTTCTACTTCTTATCCCCAAATTATTATTAATATAACAGAGGAATACCCTAGAGCAGTCTTATTTCCTATTTTTCCTTATTTTCTGCTGTACAGATCAGTGCTACCTGTGTTATAAATAGAGCTGCATTTATATATTGTGCTTAGAATGCTTCTTCTCAGATCAAAAACTTCAGATAAACCTCACTGGCTAAAACACAAATGTACCGAAGCCTAGATTTCAGTTCATCTCAACTGCCGGATAATACAAATCCATTTTCTAAGAGTTACCCAATTTCAACTGCAACGTATAACCAAACAAGACAAATAGTCAACACTTCTTTGTGGCAGGAATAATTCAAATAAAGATGTGAGGGAAGTCTCATTCTTAAAGATTACCAGCTTAAAAAAACATAATGTAAGTAAAGTGTTTTGTGTTCCTGAAATGCCCTGTGTCTATGGTGATCAGGTACAGAAAAGTTATTTCAAGTTCAAATATAACTTAGCGATTGCCACATGGTGCAGGATCTTTCCACCCCTGCACTCCAAAAACCCAATCAGACAAGTGGCCGTAATCTGACTCCCACTGCGCTGGGAACTTCAGGGCAGGCAATGAGAGCTGCACTCTGGCTGGGGAAGGCATGAGTGATAGACCCGCAGCAAGGCGGTGGGGGTAAGTGCTTGTTTGCCTTAAGGGAACAATGCCCAGGGCCAAAAGATGAAACTCTGTCTCTTTTACTACAGATATTTGTGCCTTCTCAGGCAGAATCCAGAAGGCAGGTTAGCTATAGGGCAGATGGGTGGTTCTTTTAGATCTGAATACCGGGCATATTCAGAAGAGAGGCAGAGAGAAGGTAGAAGAAAAGGGATGCTTTTTAACAAAATCTGCCGCATACTCGAGACCTGCAAAAGCACAGGAAGATTGCCCTATGGAGGTAAATCCAGTTATTTTTCATCAGGAAAATTACTCACCTAGGGGCTCAGTTGTCCAACAGTAGATGGGGCTGGGTGTTCAGCTAGAAATTAATGTGTCCGATCGGCTACAACCCGGTCACACCAACAAACCCCCTTTGTTCTGGGGCAAAAGAAGCAAAACAAATTGTGTCGATCCATTTCTAGTGAGAGTGAAAATGCAAGGGAACACTGACCATAAAAGCAGGGGGGCTCTGAGCGACGCAGGGGTGAACTCTCGTAGGGCCAGAAGTACATATATATGCTCCAGCAGACTTTGGGGTTCACAGACACCTGAGGTTGGTCAGTCTGCCCTGGAAGGAGATCAGATTTTTTGGATTTAAAAAAAAAAAAGGCTAAAAACATTCTTAAGCAGTGTGTTTATGATGTGTTGTTGTTTTGTTTTGTGTTTTAAATTTCTCTGGTTGATAAAAATTGGAAGCTGCAAGAGCCACTGAGTTTCTTAAATTAGTTCTCTGGAGAGGTAGATAGGTGCGTGAGAGAATGAGCCAGGAGAGAACAGCAGAATGGCAGGAGTGAGGGGCAAAAGGGGGGTGGCCTTTTCTGGGACCCGCCTCTCCTGGTGTCTCCTGCAATGCTCAAAAGGGACATTTTCTGCACCCCTCCCCCCAGCTTCCTTCGCCTCCTCTTCCTATTCCCCACTCTATGGGGCAAATAGCACCTGTAGTAGCACTTTGCCCCTTTGCCATCCGGGCTACAGCCCTGGGCCGCTGGTGAGTTCAGAAGTGACGCTCCTAACTTGTTTTTCAATTTGTAAGTTCCAGGAGTTTCCTCCCCCTCTTGGGGATATTTTTAACGTCTCCTCCAGGGTGCCCCCACACACACACTTCAAGTGCTGTTTTTGTCTCTATCTTCTCTTCCTCTGGGGAGAATGATGTCGTTGTGGCCCCAGCTGGGGTTTTTCAAAGTTAACATGATTCACTTAGAGGAGTTCACCTGGGCAGGGGATTTGCGACATGGCTGGCCGGTCCCCTTCTGGAGCCAGCCTTTATCCTGCCACTGGTGCTTGGGCAGAAACTGGGTTTCTCTTTCCAACTCTGAAGCAAAGCCACACGTCAAATCACAGGCTCGCCGGGAGCAAAAGGTCAAGGGTGAGCTCCCCTAGCCCTTCCTTTCTGGCACAGCTTTTGCTCACTGCCCGTGCAGTAAGTGATGTGCGGTAAATAAGGGCCACACCACGTGTCAAGGGGAAAGCTGCTATAATACTAATCACTTAAAGTACTTGGCTTTCTCGCCTAACCCTTTACGTAGTCGTCTGTGATTAGATTCTCTGCTAAATGTTCTCCATACTTCTTGGCTCCCATGACTATCACAGGCAAAGGACAAGGGCAAAAGTCTTAGATAAAGGGGCAATTGGGAGAACTGCACCCCCAAGGGGAAGCCAGAATGAGCAGTTGGCATTAATAGCCTCAAACCACCCCTTCTCAGCCCCAAAGATCCAAACACTGAGAGGAATACAGATGGCAGATGGGAGGAAGAAGAAAGTGTCTTCCCTCCCAGTGGCTGCCTTGCTGCCCCCTGCCCCCCACCACTGTCCCACACCCCCCAGCAGCCCCCCAAGAGGAGGCAGGCTGTCCCTGGGGGCAAGCAGAAATGAGAGAGGCCATCGAGAAGACCCTGGAGACCCTGGAGAAAAATCGCAGAGAGCCTTCTGCTCTGAGGACCGCAGTGTCGCTCGCCACACCCCCTTTTCCTGACCCGTGTTCCCGAGCTCTGCCCCAGGCGGGCGGGGAGGGTGCGGGGCGCTTGCACACGCCAGCCTCCGGGATCCCTCTGGGAGGGACCCCTCTGCGCGGTACCGACAAGGGTTGAGAGAAGGTTGGGCACGACGACGAGGGGTGACCTTCCTCCCCTAAGAGCATCTCTCACCCCCCCTGCCTCCCTCTACCCACCGGCGGCGGCAGGGATGATGAGCCCTGGCCACCCTGGCCGCTCATCTGTTCACCTGGCCGCTGCCGGGAACCTGGCAGGGACCGGGACTGGCCGCTGCTCCGCCCTCCTCCCCTGGGGCCTGAGGTTGACACGTCCCGCGCGCCGCGCGCCCAGGTCTGGGTGGCGCCGCGCAGTGTCCCTCGGGCGGGCACAGCTCCAGGCCCCTCCCGCTGACAGCCGCTCGCCCCTGGCACACAGGCGAGGGAAGGAGTGTCGCTGCCCCAGCTCAGGCCCTGCCTGTCCGCACCCCACATGCCAGTCACCCGGAGCTCCCCTGTCCTCAATGAATTTACCTTCTCAAATGACAGCCTTCAGCATCCCTGTGTTCCTAGCAGGCCTCCCCTTAATCCAGAGCTGGAGACAGTTGCTCTACTAATCCATTTGCAGAATGCCATTTAGAAGCAATAAAATACAAAACTGAAAAAGACTCCCCCACCCTTTTTATTGCTTTATGTTCAAAATAAAAATGGCATGCAAAATGTACAGTGATACTTTAAAACTTTCTCTAAGGGAATTAACTACAAGGTAACTATATTTTATTAATCTTTTAAGGAACTTGATTTAGACATTTGCCTTTCTAGGAACAGTTGGGATAATTTTCCAGTGAAACTGGATAATCTTTGAATATGAAATCAAGAGAGACTGGAATACCGACCTCTTGACTATCAAGGAAGGAATTTCCAGAGGCATTCTTTCTTAGTAGGCAAATAACGCCGGGCCGCCCCTGCCCATGGTACCCCAAGACAGCCTGGCCTCCTTCACCTAAGTTCCTTGACCCTTCCCACCGAAAGCCTGGTGGACTGGCTTCTGAAGCTGATTTGTTTTTCTTTTCAGTAAGTGTGGACCTTTGTGTAGAAGAGACAACATCATGGTGGCTTTCAAAGGGGTCTGGACTCAAGCTTTCTGGAAAGCAGTCACCGCGGAATTCTTGGCCATGCTTATTTTTGTCCTCCTCAGCCTGGGATCCACCATCAACTGGGGAGGGACGGAAAAGCCTTTACCTGTCGACATGGTTCTCATCTCCCTTTGCTTTGGCCTCAGCATCGCAACCATGGTGCAGTGCTTCGGCCACATCAGCGGCGGCCACATCAACCCTGCGGTGACGGTGGCCATGCTGTGCACCAGGAAGATCAGCATCGCCAAGTCTGTCTTCTACATCGCAGCCCAGTGCCTGGGGGCCATCATTGGCGCAGGAATTCTCTACCTGGTCACGCCTCCCAGTGTGGTGGGAGGCTTGGGAGTCACCTCGGTAGCATCTTTAGCTCTTTTATTTTCCCAACTAGGACTCAAGGCTTCTTGCAGACCCTTTGCTAAATGACACATTGGTGGCATAAGAGACATCCCTAAAATTGCCGATTTATCCCCAGGGAATTTTTGATGGTTCTTGGTAGGGTGAAAACTGATTCTGGCAACATTAAATGTATCAATGGGAAATCACTGTTTGCTCTTGAATGACTTGAAAATAACAAAGTTTAGGTGGCACAAACATTATATTGGTTTTTTTTCCTCTCCCTCTCCTCTCCCAGTTATTATATTGACTATATATTTAGCTTAGGGCATTTTTATGACAATTATTTCTTTGTTCCCTAGCAAAAGAAACAGTGTCACTTCTTGTCATGTTCATGAGATTTAAAATGATCTACATAAAGGATCATGCTTAAAAAATAAATTGACGTTTAATCTTACTTTTGTTCTTAGCTGATTAGGAGGATCATTTGTTAGCTCAGCACCAGGGTCTATTAAAAAAATGAAAAAAACCACACATGGTTTAAATTTTAATTGAAATATATATTAATTAATTTAAACCTAATTAATGGATTTAATCGTTGCCTTATAAAATTACAAGGCTCTTAAGAAATTCTTTTATAAGTTAAGTGCTGCAGTGGCACATTTTACTTCCTTTGTAGAAAAGGACATTCAGCACAAACTCCTGCTTGGTCATTGTAAGAGTAATTATCTGTGACGACCCAAAATGAGTGTGATTTATTCCTTCTTTTTTTTTTTGTAGGGAAGAAGGGGGAGGTCTCATTTGGAGGTGGGGTAGAAGACTCAAATTAACCATTACTCTCTTACAGAGATAAAATATGCCTTTCACAATGATATGGTATCATAGAAAATACTCTTACTTCAATTCTGATGGAATATTTTTCTCTTTCTAGGTTCACGGAAATCTTACCGCTGGTCACGGTCTCCTGGTGGAGTTGATAATCACATTTCAGCTAGTGTTTACTATTTTTGCCAGCTGTGATTCCAAACGGACTGATGTCACTGGTTCAATAGCTCTAGCAATTGGATTTTCTGTTGCAATTGGACATTTATTTGCAGTAAGTTTCCAAGTCCATTTAAATAATTGATCCATCTCATTTATCTTCACCCTGGCTGGCCTGAAGATGTTGTGTTTTACAGCAGTAGCTCTTTAGTATCCAACCATGTTTGTCCATTTGAGGTGATCATTTTGCCAACCACGTGAAGAGAATGTTGATAGAGTTGCTAACCTCTTGAGGTTCCTCTAAGTGACCTGATGAATGATGGCATATTCCAATGAATGACACTTGGTAGTAGCCCTGTTTCAGCAATGTCTGAAGTTGTTTTCTTTTTTCCTATAGATCAATTATACTGGTGCCAGCATGAATCCTGCCCGATCCTTTGGACCAGCAGTTATCATGGGAAATTGGGAAAACCACTGGGTAACACTCATGTTAATAGTTTCTGTCTTCTTACAGTTGAGGACAATTACCTATGGGACTCTTTTGTTCATTATTTTGCTTACTAGTTTCTCTTGCATCCTTCCAATCTCGACCCTCACTTTAGTACATCTTTCATAAAGCCTAGCATAGATCTGCTATAAAACATCTCATCTTATATCTGTTCTGGGCCTTTAGTAACAGTCTTTTTTCTCCTAAGTGTTGTTCTGAGTGCTGTATCTAACAGACTACAGCAGAGTACATCGTACAGGGAGGTTGCCTATGTGGAACAAATTAAAATCAGGATAGTGTAGTGAATATGTTGCTTAAATAATTGAAAGTAAAGCCTTCCCAGCAATAACAGAAAATAAACTTGCAAAACAAAAAAAAAAAAGAAGAAGAAGAAAGAAAGAAATACTTAAAAGCATTACCCACAGCAAAAATATTTACCTTTCTTGTTTACAAAAGCATAAACTCAATTAATAGTATGTGAATTGGAAGCATTTGAACTGCAGATGGTGGAGAATAAATAGTGCAAGTGTTTACGCTAGTATCACCATGACTGTAGCTGGAAGAATAAATGACTCTCAGAGAAGGCACACTTTTCAGTCCCAAGCCTAATCTGCTTATTAATGTGGTGGCAATGCTTCCAGAGAATAGTGATATCCATTTTTAAATATTACAATTATTTTTGTTTCAATTTTTTCTTACAGCAAAGGAACTTAAATCCTTTAAATAAGTAATGCAACAGTTGTGAAGGCCACTAACAGACTATGTTATAATAACCAGTAAAAATATGAGACATATATAAGCCATCTTCAAATGGGGCTAACTTTATTGCCATTTATACGTTATGAAAGTTACCCTACAACTTTTTGAATTCATGAAAATAACAGAATATGTCACTTGTTAATTAATCTTATGCATATCATGGTTATTGACTTAGTCACATCCACTCAACTATGGTGTACATTGCAAATGAGAAAAAAATTGCACCACAGCTATAGGCATTCATTTCTCCATACCATTAAATAACAGAATGAGAGTCAGTATTCAAAAGCAAAATTTTGGACGCAGCCATGTAAAGAGTTGGACAACAATGCCATCCATGAGATTGGTCATTTTGCCACTGATATTTCCATTTATGTCTCTAAAGATTGGCCACATTAAACAAAAATGGTAATTTTAATGGGCAATATGTAGATTTTTATAATTAAAGTGCAACTTTTAGTTTAACTTATTAAATTTAAAATATTTTGTAATTAACAACTTTTAATTTAATTAGCGAGGGCTTGAAAATGTGGATAAAAAATATGTTTTATTAATTGCTTATCAGTTACTATAAACTACCTAAAATTTAAACAGTGGGAAAATTCTTAGCTTGTTGATTAAATCAAATGCTTTCTCTTATTGTGATTTTATGCTAATCTTGATCCTGCTAAAAATGAATATCCATTTTGTAGCAATGGTTGTGTGAGACTTAGAACTAATTTCAAGTATGTTTATAGATACATAGATAGACTAGAAATAACATCAAAATATTGTGGGGGTTTTTTGTACAGTGCAATGATATTATTTTAGTTTTCTTTATATTTTTACATATTTTCTAGATTTTTAGCAGTAAAAATTCTTTACCTTTATAAATTTTAAAGTTATGTTTTATTTTTTATTTATTAGATTTTTTAAATTGACACATGATAATTGTACATATTTATGGGGTACCTAGTGATGCTGGGATACAAATAATGTATAGTGATCAGATCAGGGTAATTAGCACATCCAACATCTCAAACATATTAAAACCATTTCTTTGCTTTTAAAGTAATATGACTTTCCTCTGAAAGATCAACTTGACACTAAGATTTGTTTATTTTTGAGAACACGCAGTTAAATGTCTTCTTTATGGGTGTTTTGGGGAGCAGTAGTAATTATTTAGCTGCTTCTATTATCCCTTGTGGGATTTGTAGCCTGTGGACTAGTACATATCTAATGAGATCTTGCCAGAGGAACAAAGAGCAAAGACATTTAGAGGAGGGCTTGTGTTTCTCCTTTGAAAGGGCATAGAGAAGATAAACTCTCATATGGTTTCTTTCATGTTCCAGATAAGGAACTTGGTTCTTTCAGCCACTCTGCCAACAGTTTCCCCGCAAAGGATATGTGTTCAGCTTCAGCTTAAAGTTTGAATTTTGTTTAGATTTTACAATGAGGAGGCTAAGTGATATTAATTTCCAGAGGGTGTTTAAAGAGAGAAGCATTCATCATATTTTATTCAAATGAGAGAAGTGTGGTATAGTGGTTCAAAAGAGAGGTCTGAAGTCAGACAGACCTGAAATCCCAGCTCAACCACTTGCTGAGCATGAAATCTTAAGCAAGCTTCTTACCCTCTCAGAGTGTCAGTTTTCTTGTTCTTAAAACGGGAAGAATAATATCCTATCTATCTCATAGGTTATTGTTAGAATTACATGAGATAATACAAGAAGAGTTCTAAGTGCAGCCAGCTCAGAGACAGTGCTCAATAAACAGGGTTTCTGTTGCCCAAGTGAGTCTACTAAAGGAATGTCTAATATTCTACAGCATTCACATGCCTTAAAGCGAATACGGCAGTTCATTCCAACTCAACACTTAGTTTATTCTAGGTATGTAAGTGACATAATAAGAACTTCCATTTATTGAAATCCTATGGAATTGCTACTCCTGAACCAGTGTTCATCCATAAACTCAGTACAGATTTTTTCACCAAGCCACCATTGTAAGAACCACGTAGATGATGGCTCTCTGCAACAAGAGCCATAAACAAACCGGAGGGTTTTCAATCCAATCAAATCACCAAATTGTAGAGAAGAAAAGCATGTAACATAAAGGAGATAATAATTTATGCCCTTCCTAGTCACGTAGATCTTCAAATTGTCTGAGAAACCTGGAATTATTAAGTACTTTACAAGAATTATTTCATTTAGTCCTTATTCCCCATGAGGTGTGTATTATTATGATCCGCACTTGGGGATGAGGAAATTAAGACTTTGGAAGTTAGGTAACAAATTTGCTAAGTGGTGGAGCTGGGATTCCATTTATCATGCTGTACTGAATAACTAAAGCCCCAAATGATCAAATCTGCACTATAATCGTGATCGTGCAGAAAATCAATGTAAGATGGCAATATTGAAAAAAGAAGAGAAGTACTCTCCAGAATTTGTTTTTCTGTTTTAGTTGAAGAATTTCTAGTTCCTGCTTACTTTGCAGTACCACCAAAGAAGAGCTATTTTTACATTAGGGATTATCCGAAAAGGGAAAGAACATATAATTAATGAAAGGAGGGAAGGAGAAGAAACAGTTCTTTCTTGTTTTCTGTTCAAATGTTATCTTAATAATTTATGGACCTCTGATGTGGATTTGGTGTACTTTCTTATTTCTTTTCCAATTCCCTACTTTTTCACGCATGACACGATTGCTCACTTCATTTAACCCAGCTAAATTCTACATTCATAGACTTGTTCAACGGAACAGCGTTTCTCCACTTACCCTCATCCTCTTCTGTCTCTCCTTCAGATATATTGGGTTGGACCAATCATAGGAGCTGTCCTCGCTGGTGGCCTCTACGAGTATGTCTTCTGTCCAGATGTCGAACTCAAACGTCGTTTCAAAGAAGCCTTCAGCAAAGCTGCCCAGCAAACAAAAGGGAGCTACATGGAGGTGGAGGACAACAGGAGTCAGGTAGAGACGGAAGACTTGATTCTAAAACCTGGAGTGGTGCACGTAATTGACATTGACCGGGCAGAGGAGAAGAAGGGGAAAGACCAGTCGGGAGAGGTGTTGTCCTCCGTATGACTAGGAGACAGCACTGAAAGCAGACGAGACCCCTTAGAACTGTCCTCAGATTTCCTTCCACCCATTAAGGAAACAGATTTATTATAAATTAGACATGTGCAGGTTTGTTATTTCATGTCATATTACTCAGTCTAAACAGTAAACATTTCGTTATTTACCAAGGAGGAAAGGAAAAAACTTACTGTGAATTTCAAACCTCAAAAAAAAAAAAAAGAAATCTTTTTAAAGTATTTCCCAAGTAATGTATCTAGCTGCCTTTCACTGATAACCAATTTAAAATGTGTATCAAGATTTGGCTAAGTCTTACCTGACAGAACTTACAGACACACCTATCAGTTCATTCCTCCTCTATCAGGAAATTGGTATTGTTAATCCTCATTTGAATATTTATTCCATTAAATCGAGTTTAACAATGGCAAGATACAGTATATCCCAGAGCCATGCACATTCAAGAGAGGTAAATCAACATTTCTTTATGGACAATCCTTCTTTATAAACGTACCTCGGCAAAGAATCATTATACCAAGGGTCATAATAGATTTCCATATTATGTTGCAAATACTCAATTTCGAACCCCAACCCTTATTAAACATTCTTATTCCTCCTCCTCAATGCCCTAGCGTAATGTGGGATAAAAGCCCAGAAGATTTTAGAAAACATATTCAGAAGACTGTATAATTTAATTAGTTTTACTAATAAATACCAATCGTAAGGAGACAACCTCTTGATGATTCAGAAAAGCAGATTATATAATAAACTTTGAGGCTGGGGGGAAAAGTACACATCAAAACAAACATCAGAAAAAAAAAAAGGAATCTGTATTCGGTATAAATGGTCTATCTGTTTCAGCTGCACATCCTCAAATGCACGCACACAAGGTTAAACATCTAAGGTTTAACCTCTTACACATTTGCTTATCTTTTAATTTTTAGCAAAACTGGGGGTTGGTTTGTTTTGCTCACTTAGTGTTGTCTATATTAAACTAGCTGAGTTTATATTTTGTAACAAGAATTTAATTTAACGTGTTTTTGTTGTTTTGAATGAATAAGATGCTGTTCTCTAGAAGTGTAACTGGCCCTGCCTGTCCTAATCTCTTGCGTGCTTCTTATTCTCATGACATTTGTTGAATAATATTTCACTGAGAGTATAATGATATTTGGTGATTAAAATGCACCCCGAAAAAAGCAAGCTATGATCACAGTTGCGAAGTAAAAAGGTGGAGATATCAGAACACTCTGCTATTTCAACAGCTGACTTAGATGGACAAGCTTCAATTTGTGACATATTGTTACATAGAACGCCAACAAGCGTTTTTAAATATTTTTTGTTAACCGATTCTTTATTTGGCCAAAATAATTTGTCGTTTCTGTCCTGCTTTGTTTTACTAGTTCAGTCGGAGTGTTCTCTAGAAACCCAGTTTCTATGTCTCTTAACTGTTACATCTAGCCATTCTATCTTAGACAAAGCTGCAAATGTCCAATCCATGAAGCTAGTAAAATAACGCAAAAACCTATCCTGCAAGGGTGCTTGATAAATAGCGATGATCAAGGGCTTTCCTCTCCAGCCGTTCCAAATGTGTGTCATATTTTATGCGTTAAATGGCAGTGGGTGTCTGGATACAGTGAGATAATGGACCAGCTGATTAACCGGAATTCTCTTCAGTGCTAGGAAGATGATGGGGTGAGATTTCAGATAGTCATCACGTTTTGCGGCTGGAAGTGGGCGCCTGGGCATATGGTGGCCGGAGTAGGCTTGAAGAATCGGGGTGGCCCGCATGGGTTTCATAGGGGGCACGGGCGACACGTGACAGCGCACAGTGGCCGTGGTTCCTTCCATTGGCTGGACAGAACCATATCGAAACTAGGGTGCATCATGATCAGGACGGCATGTATTTGTTAACCTGTCCATTGAAGAAGTTTGCACAACACTACCGACTGAAAGAGTAAAAATCCAGAGGTCGGTTCAGGTTCAAAACCGGATAACGCTAACCGTCAGAAATAATGTCAGTCGAAAACTTCGTTCGGATAACAAAGAAGAGTGTTAAAAGATTTCATCAAATGACTTCTGAGTATCTGGAATACAAGTTAATCATATTTATTCTGCCATGGGTTTATTCAATATAACACTACTTTTACACTCACTCCAATTAATGCTGCCCTAAGTCTAGGGCTAAATAAAAAAACAAAACAAGGTGAGATGGACTGTTTTGTCTTTGTAAGTTCTAGTACCAGCATTGGGAGTGACCTGGTCATATAGTGGCATTCAACAAGTGAGTTAATAATCAAAAATGTATAGATCTCATTTGGAATTTAGAAAGTATTACAATAGAATTTTTATCTAATTCTTCTTTTGGTAAATTTAAATAAAAAGACCATGATTTCAAGGACGACTAAAGGCAAAGGCCGCTAAATGTGCAACCATAAAAATATATTTTGCATTCTATATTATCTATAGGGGCATGAAAAGTGAATGAAGTTTAGATTTTCTTCCCCTGCTATGAACACATCTATTTGTATTTCACTCAAGGCATCGCCAAGTAAAACAAGTAATGAATGTCACATTCTAATGAATCTGTCGCAGCAGGCAGGTGCTATTGCTTGTGGATGGACAAATACTACTGTATCCAAAGTAGTATTAGGAGACTAGGCTTTTTCCTCTTAATCCCTTTTATTAATGAGTGCATGGTGCTGCTCAGCCGAGACGCTGCTGACAGAATACTCAGAAGAGATCAGAGAGAAACACACGGGGAAGACATAAATGTGAATGGTATACCGCCTGATACAATGCGAACTGTCTCTCCCTAAGGGAAGATACAAACCCACCACCCCTAAAATTGTAACGGTAGGTACTGCACTAAATGATGCACACTTTCAAAAGGATGTAGGGGCAAAGATATATTTAAGCTTTCTGTTTCTTAAAAAATTTTCGGGCCAGAATTTGAATAATGATGTCTCCATTGTATGAATGGTTGTGGTTTCTTGAAGAGTCTTAACCTTTTACACTGGAAGGAAATTTTTCTGGGCCTAACCAAAAAACACATCAAAAAAAACAATTAATCTTGCCTATGTCCAAAGTTCCAACGTTTGTTTGTGCTGTGTTGGAATCTTTTCATAAATTCTATATATGCGTTTCTATCATCTGAGGCCTTTTCCATAATGCGATCCTCAGAGGATGCCTATTTAGAGCTGCTGCTAGACTTAGTTGTTGAAGCTTTTCCTGGAGAATTAGAAATTTTTGAAATGTAATACGATGAACTTGAGACTACTGATTTTTGAGCTTGATTCACAAAATGCACGATGATTCTTTCCGGCCCCTGAAACCCGACAGCATATGTATGGTTTAAAAATTAATAACATGGCAGGATAACTTCCGCAATAGAGTAGGAAATTCAAAATGTGAAAATTCAGTCCTGAGGTCTTTGATTGCAGCAAGTTGACGCCATCCACTGCTATGCCATCTTGACAGAGAAATTGCCTTGTGACAAACGTGAAGAGGGACAACGTCTGAGCTGAATAGAAAACTTATCAAACGATATAAAAGCCAATACAAAAATTCCTAATAAGACTTGATATGCAATTCAGGAGCATTTTAACAACGTGAAAAGTAAATGTCTTTCCTATGTGTTTATGGCACCTGAAAATATTAGGAGATAGTGGTTGCTATCTGGAAGTGTAAATGTACAACCTTTTCATTCACAACAGAATTTTGTGACTTCGGTTTGATGTGTTACTATACAGATATGCCCAACATGAGCCTTTTGTAAATCACTAATTCCTGAATATAAAATAAAGACTATTAATTCAGGGGAATCAAAACTATGGCATCCTTTTCCAGATGATATAGTCTGAAGAATACATATCAAAAAATGTTTACAACATAGCAAATGAACATCTAAATTTAGTAGGGTATGTGTTGTTAATCAGAAGTCATGCTAAAAATCAAAAGAACTAAAAATACACTTGGAATATATCATAACCCATTGGAATGTATCTCTAGATTTCCTTCAGGATTAATTAAATAAACATGCAATTTATTAAACCATATAAATAATTATTTATCACTTTCATGACCCAAATCACAATAAAATTGTAATTCAGGATAAACTGGGGAGAATAAACTGAACATATGGTTATATTCACAGTTATTTATTAACTGAAATGTTATTCCAACATTAGAGCTTAATGTTAAAGAGATTTAAACTTTAATGTCTAATATTTGAAATACTCTATTAAAGTATTAGCACTGTGGTTGATTTCCATGAATTATGTTGCATCTCATACTACTAACCTTGTGCAAATAAACTTTTAAATGTTTTAAAAGATAAACATTGTGTTTAATGATGTTCAAAAATTCATTCATAGTTATAGCAAGGTAGATTTTATGAGCATCCTTTAAAATGATCAGGAGGTTTAGATATTTGAGTATAATCAACATCCAGTGAAATGGTGGTGGACTCACAAAAATCAAATGCATTTTGTGAAAGCCTGCAAAGTATACACTGTGGGAGGCCCTAATATAGACAGTGAAAATTATATTTTCACTGGCTTAATTCAAAATGTCCACATCTACACAAAATAGACTACTGGATGTCAGCTATCATCACAGTGAGTCTAAAAGTGAAGATTCAAACAACTGTGACTGGTATTGCTAAATAGATGATCCATCCTCAGGGCATTTGGCAGATTCTGCCTACCCAGATGGATAATGTAGACTCAGTGAGTACTGGTTTACCCCCTGGGATCTTGGTTTGAGGGGCTTCTCAATTTTAAGAGGTTATAAACCCTCAATGGAAGGTTGAAGACAATCATTTATGTAGTGTGCAACCCGTCAGATGAATGGTGAGTGATGCTCTAGGAGACAGGTGGATGTGTACGTCCCATATAGCATTTGTCACATTGTAGTGAAATCATTCGTGCAGGTATCTGTCTCCTCCACTAGATTCTAAACTCCTTAAAGGTTAAGGTTAAGACTGAATCTTATTTATTCTGTGTTTTCCCCCACCCCTACCCCAACCCCTTAGCATTAGACTAGGCTTGACATTTCACTCAATAATTGCTTGTTGCATGGATAAAGAAAGAAATTAATGAATATCTTACAATCATTAGGAAATGCCACAAAACACCATTCTTTAATCTAGTTGGGTTTTGCTGCATAAATGTGTGCTAAATATTTGAATTCTTATAGTTCTGTGTAGGAGC